GTGGGTACAGCAAAATCCCTCTATCACAGGCTGGTAGATGCTGAGTACACACATCAGAAGGACTGTTTGTACTTGCTCTGTTTCTCTACTTTAAGCATCCGCTACTCATCACTCACAGTAGGATCGTAGCTGGATGGACTTTTAACCTGACCCAGTCTGACTGTTCTCATGTGTTTAACCGGGCTGACATTGCCTGGAGTGCGTTTGAGTCGAGTCACGCAATCAGCTCTGACAGCCGTGCTGTAGAGGTGGTGCAGTCGCTGGGAAAGGAATAGCTGTTCACAGCTTGCTTTTCATTCATGTCGGCAAAGCTCAAGCCCCAGTGACTGCTTCATATTGAATTGTCTGCACGGAAATAAAAATACTAAGCAAATCATATAGGCAGTTAGGTTCTGACAGAAGCAATTCAAAAGAAAAGGGGAAGGGTGGATATGCATATATATGTCAGAATATGGTAGAGGCAATCCAGAAGATCTCAAATATGAAGTTAATACATTGCAAAAGTCACCTTATTATAAATTATTATAAATAAAATGTAAATGAGTCACTGAAAAAATCAATAGAGGTAGCCAATTCAAGAATGGCATGACTAAAATGTATCTAATTATAGAATGGAAACCTGAATGTCATTCTTAAGAGGGACCAAAACAACACACAAGTGCTAGGGCTTTTGTGGCTGCCCTGCCCTCCACAGTGGAAGGAAAAAGTACCCACAGCCCTGCCGCAGCAATGCCTGCAGAGAAGTTGCAGTCACCCTCTTCCTACCTCATCCATATTTTGTCAGCTATTATCTTAATTAGTCTCTGTGTTCATAAATACAAAGATTAGAGCCATGCCCTTATCAGTTGATCCTTTGCACTAATAAAGTTATAGAAATTCTTTCAAGTATAAAGGGATTTGCTGGGTGATGCCATGGGGTGCAGCCAGGTTCATGCACAGAAATGCTCGGCATCTTGTTTGTAGATGGGATTAACACCAGTACAAAGCATCTACCTGACAGGTTTTGATCAGTTCAGATGTACCTGTGTAGCTATGCCACTGGCTAAAGCCTTCAGCCTTAGGCTATTTGCTGCTTTTCATCCTTGTTTAGCTACCATCTCTAACGCATAAGAAACATGTCATGAGTCATGATGAGAAATTGAGATAAATGCCAACCTCTGTAAACCTTTAGACTAGAGGCTGCATTTCTGTTATGTTTCAGCACATTTGCAGAAGCCATCAGAAGCCAGCAAGGTATAAACAAACACAACAATTTAATGCCAAGTGCCTGCAATTAAAGACAAAAGTTCCCTTCTGCTCCAGTTACTTGCTTCGCCAGACCTTTTACCAAACCACAGAAGACATCATTTCATCTATTTATTTCTAAGGTTAGGCAAGAACAATTTCAATGCATTTTTATAAGCCACAGAGAAGTGCACAAGCTCATTTCCCCCTCTTAGGTCACCTTTATCATGAGAGTTTTATTCTAATTAAATATAAATGTGCTTTCAAGTCAACAGTGTTACTGAGGTCCATCAAATCTTCTGAATTACAGACCTTTATTTTACCCTGTTTTAGTTTTATTTGCAAAGAAGCTAAAAATGCTGAGCTCCCTCTGCATGAGGGCTCTCAAGGACCTCTCTGTCAGCCTTGCTATCAGAGCGGTATACTTGCAGTACACATCTGGAACACGAACACTGAGCCTTTTTCCACAGCACAGAAGTTTTTGATTTTTCAGGTTCCTCATTTTTCCTTCAGCATCTGTCAGCTTTATGAGTTTCTCCTATTCTTCTACCCCACAGTAAAAACAGAAGAATGCCTGTTGGGGAAAGGCATTTTACCCCACACGGCACTGGCTTTTTATTTACTGGTAGCTGACATTCTCCATCAAGTCAGATCCTGTACTAGCAGGAACTTGATATTTTGCCCTACTCCACAGCAGGCTCAGGTGTCTACCTTGGTTTTCAAAACTTTTTGACAGTAGATACAGTGTTTAAATCTCTGAAACAGCCAGAACTCTAACAGTTGTAATTACTACTTCACCTATGCATATACTAGGTAGCAAACCCCAGCTTCATTTAAAACAAAAACAGTTTCACACAGGTAACCAAAGGCAATATTGTCCCCCCTCCAAACATAGCAAACCTTCCTACTTGGAACCTCTTCACCTCTTGCAGCGGGATCTATGGCGTTTGTGTGCATGTATAGATAGCACTTTCCATGCAATGCAACATAGTGATTACTACAGCAGTCCTAGACAAGTAAGACAAAGGCTTTAATCAGCCAGTTTTTCTAGCACAATATCCAGAAATTAAAGCAATTCCGGAACAAATTACATAGTCTTTGCATTAACAAAAAATACCTTTTTTCTTTTTTTTTCCTCCTACTGGTAGCGCTAACCAGCTATCTAGATGAAATATTTTGAAACACCACAATTTAAAAACCACCAAACCACTGCACAACAGCTTTGAGTTTTGGGCTGCTGGTCTCTAGGAAAGGTTTTGGTTAATGAACTCATTATCCACTGCAGGTAGCAGGTTAGGACCATGCCTGTCACCTGTCCTCCCCACTCATGAATTCCAGGGTGGATGAGCCAAGCACCCACGCCTTCACACACCAGTCTGGAAGCTACCCAGGGCACTGGCCCACTACCCATGTTTCGATCTTTTCATGCCAAAATAAACTATTTGTCTGATCTTTGAGGCTTATTTCCTGGAATTATATGGAGTCTTGGAGAGGGTTAGAGGAACAATATCTTTGAAAGATGCTGTGGCTTTCAGCTCCAGAATTACTTTCTCTGAAATATGCTTCAGTTCACTAGGCACAGCATACCACAGCTTGATTGCTAACAGTAACTGCTATGCTGTGAATTTAACCATCAGCAATAAAATAAGCATAATCAACTACCTAATTTACTCTGCACCTACTGTACTAAAGGCATTAACTTAACTTAGACCTTACAGTTATGCCTGATCACGTACCCATTTTTTATAGTCATCCAAGATGAGGCATAAAGAAATGCAAATTTCAACAACAAGCACGCACTAGTTAAATTGTCTAAAGAGGTATCTTTTGTTCAGATCTAAAATGATATTTAAAGTGTTTACATTAATGTATTAGGAAAGGCTGGACAGCACTGCAAAAGTCTATAGGGAGCTTTGTTTATTTAAAGCTATGGTTTTTAACTAAAATATTTTTACCTGCTCAATGTGGGTTGTACACTAGTATAAAGGAGACTCTAAGACATATCCTCCTCTCCCATTTTCATCTCCTGCACCTCATTCCTAATCCAACCCCCAGCCCATTTTCTACTAAAACAACCTTTTATGTAACAATCCAGCAAAAGGAAATGAGAGGCTAATTCAGGTTAAAAACAACTCATTTTGGGAAAAGAGTCTTATTTATTGCTAGTAGCAGCAATAACATTTGCTGACCCACCTGCTGAGAAGCAGGGAGATTTCTTATACCTGTATAAGCAGCAAGTAGAAAGTACATGGCACTACACTCTTAGCCCATTTGACAGGAAAAGAAAATACTACCTTGAGCCCTTATTTAAAATAGCCTGGTTTTCTCTTCACTCAATCAGGGCAGAAGGATTTCCCTGTTCAGCCATTATAAATCAGGTGGGACTGGGGTGATACCAGGTAAGGGCAAGTAGCTGAGAGGTGTTAACATCAACTACTACACCACTTTCAGAGGCAAAGCTACTACACAAAAGCAATTCAGGTCTGAATTCACACTTATGTTTGTGTTCTCTTTCTGCAGATTTACATCTGCAGATGACTGTGGATGTAACCTATGGGTACTACTATTTCTGGACAAAAATGCATCCAACCATGTATTGAATATTTTTATCACACTTACATTTTCACAAGAAAAGATATTGCAGAATCACCTGCCACATCTTGATGCCTCCAATTTAAAACACCATGTTGTATGTTGTGCATGTGTTGTGTGTTATAAATTTTGTGCTGTACTTGTAAGCCACAGATAAACATATACAGATATTATGACACAGTATTATTAACACATCAAAAAATAGCTCAAGAAGTGCAAGATCCATGACCAGTGGTTTCTCAAAAAATCACTGAAGATCACAAGAGATGCTTAGTGAAAATACTCCTGAAGACCTGAATGGCTTTGGGAACCTGCTAAAAAACTTAAGGCAACTCCACCTCTGTTTTACTCTAGAAATACATTCAATTTGCTGCAGATTAGCTGCTCTATACATGAAGATATCAGAGAGTTAACCCTGTATAGAGTCAAGTCTGGCCAAGTAGGTTTTGTTAGTTCCCATGGAGTGCTCGGAAAACACAGCTCCCTTGCTTCCTCTCCAGCTCAGCAATGCAGACACCACCTCCTGAAGCATCTGTGCAAGCAAACTCTGACAGAGCTGAGATGACCACATATTTCAGTGCCTTTGCATTGTAACAGCAGCATTTGCTACAAATGCTTTTACTGTCAGAGACTTTCAATTATCCATTTACCTTTCCTCTTCTACTGCCCCAATCACAAAGATTTCCTTTACAGCCATACAAATGTCTAGACAGGAAAGGACACCTTTGTGCATGAAGCTGTCCTTTTGCTCCAGCATAAAAACACCTGGATGGGCAGGTAAAACACTGGTATAAGGAAAAGATAATATATGAGATACTGAGCCATAAAAAAAATAATAGGGAACTTACCAACTTATTGTCTTAAATGTAACTGAAATAAAGACATCAGCTTCTTCCCTGAAGTGCCAGCCCAGAGAAAATGGTGATTTTTGTGAGAAAGAGACCCAAGTTGAGTCACATGATTTTACCACAAAACACTGACTTTATCAACTAGGTTATTAGATGTGTAGGATGAGCTAGAGGAAAGGAAGCTTGACTGTAATTGCATTGTGCTTATACACAGATTCTCCATCACTATCTTTGCTTCTTCATGTTAATAAGACAGAAGTGACAATTCAAGTACTTCAATAAATGATAAAAGGGAGCAGTGTTACAAAACCCCCTCTAAAGTTCAGCCTGACTCACCTGACTTCCTTGCTTTCAAGGCAATGACAGCAGCCAGTTCTCTCTGTACCTGAAACATCAGGAAAAGAAAGGATGGTTATAGTCCCTAGCACAGTCAAGCAAAACAAAGTTCAACACTGGCAAAATACCAGCTATCAATTCTTTGGAGCAGTCAGCTGCATGTGGAACTATGCAAGTATCTGGTTTTGAAACTACAGTCAGTTTTCCTAGCAAATCTATTTCCTTTTCAGCTGGGCATTCTGTGACAACTTTTTCATTTTTAATTTAATTTAATGTAAATACCACACATTCCTTAGGGAGCAGGCAATTCAGTAGCCCGACCTGCAATTTATTTGCACAGTGTATCTGTTTCACAAGTACACACTTGAAGTTTCTCCCTTTCCTTGTTACATATTTGGTTTGCCTCTGATGAGCACACTGTAATGCTGATTTAACGTGTGACTCCAGGATAAGCAAGTTCTCCATGCTGAGGTTTGTCTGAGGTTCACGTATATAATTGATATTAACTTTTTGGATCTTTCAGGAGGAAACAACCTCTCCTAATAGCATGGCTGATTGTTTCAGATCCAAAATTTCACTTGAGATGAACATGCAGAAGTCAGAGGTATCTGATTTTCAGTTTTACAGGCTATCTCACTGGTCTGTGATGACAGAGCCCTGCCACACTAGCCAGCTCCATTCCTCACCCTCTTGTCTCTGCATGCTTCATATTTTCCCTATACTGTCTACAAGGCCAGCTACTGCCTCTTTAGCCAGCTTGACTCTACATCCACTTTTCTGCATAGGTCTATTCCTTCTTACATAATTTCTTTTTCTATCATTTTCCTATGCATTATTCTTATGCTTCAGATTTCTTCACCATCATCTGTCCCACTGCTTGCACGTGGCCTACAGCACCCCAGCACTTTCTCCTGCATACATCTCAGCTGTTTCCCTCCTCTGCCTCATCCACACTCTCAGATCCTCTGAACACCTCTCATCTTCTTCCAGTTTCCCAAATTTTCCTAAGGCAGCCTGCCTCTAGTATCAAAAATAAATAAATAAATAAATAAATGGGACATTTCAACTGTTTTTTGTAGGGATTGTCTGACCCCTCTGTACAAAGTCTCCAACAGCACATACTAGCCATCTTGTCTAACAGACCTATGCAAAGCTCGAGGTTATTCTGCAGTGGGAGTTTTCACATCCAGCTTCTGAAAGCATGTAAAATTTCAAACATCATTCACAAGACGTGGTTTGGTCGGAATAAGGCACAAAGCTCACAAAGGATCCCCCAAGTAATACAATTACTACTAACTGTCAATATTCCACTCTTATGACTCTGAAGAAAAGTTTGAAAATGTGAAAGAAGAATAGTTAATATTATATTGGTCTGTGTAGAAAGACAGACAAAAACACTCAGGGCACCTCAGTACGATGATAACTCCAGCACCCACTGATCAGACACTCAGCAGCCACCCAGCAGTACGCTCTACATGTGTCAGAAGGCAGTCATACCAGAGGCCACATCCTCTGCTTGCATCCTTCCTTCCCTTGTGGCAAAGGACCAAGGAGATTTTTTTTGCCGTCCTTGCAAGGTACAAGGATCTTTTCTATTCCTTGATGTTGCCCTACTGAGAGGGACAAGAGTTTTCTGCCACTCCAAGCAGGAAAATATGAAGGCAGTGCCCCGTTTTTCTTAAATGTCATCCTGTTTCCAGCACAATTGTGCAAGATGGCAGTATTACCATCCCTTCCTTCCTTCCTGTACACCCATTCCCATGTCTGGAGAAACATTATTCATGGCTAATGTAAGCATAAACTGAAAGTAAAACGGGAATGAACAGTTCTTCCACGGAAAAACAACTTGTGTGCTTGCTTGCAGCAATTACTATATGCTAGTAATAATACATACAAGCTATCCAGAGTGAGAGGGGGATTTTCAATAAAAGCTGAAGTTGTTTCTGAATAGCACCATCACAACTTTTCATGACTACACTGCTCAGAGCTTCTCTCCTCATTAAGCTCAGCAGGAGATACCAATGTTGATGCTTCGATTCTGGTCTATTCTCACTGGTTACTGACAGTAAGAAACAGTGCGCTGATGTCTCATCTTTATCTTTTAGCATTTAATAAATACATTATCCCAAGATTAGCCTTAGAAGACACTACAACCTGCAACAATTGTAAACATATCACTTAACCCAATTAAACAATTGAAAAATGCAAACCTCTCCATGAGTGTGAAGAAAAACCCATCTGCTGAGAAGAAAAGGCAGCATTGTGGCATCCTGCAGTTATATTTGCAGTATTACTTTTTTATATAAGGTGCCACTTGTCAAGTTTGAAAGACAGTGTTAAAATCACAAAAGGCTGTTTTTCTATATTTTGTCTATATTAAACAAAATATCCCATTGCTTGCTGTGTGCCAGGAATGCAGCAGGAATATTACTTAACTTGAGCAAAACCCTTCAGCAGGAGAAAATATATTTCTCTAGTGCTACTATTAAGCAAAAGTTTCTTCATCAAAGGGTTCCATCCTGACAACTTGATGCTCTCTCTCACAGGATTCACTCCAACCACAAAGAATTGGTACTGCTGAGCATCCTTCTGGATTTGACTGGTGTCCCTAGATTTCATAATCAATAGGTTTTTGTCCATTGTAGCATAAATGCACTTGACATCTCTGCTGGACATGCAGTTCCTATGCATCATCACACCAATGGAAATCCATGCACAACATTCATTCCTCACTGCACAGATGCTACACATTATCATACTTCTTCCTAATAGGATTTCAGTTACTGCCTGTTTGAAAAGATCAATAGTTGCACATTACATTGAAGACAATAATGCAGACTCAAAGTAAAATATATGTTCAAATAAGAACCACATCTACCATATTGAGATATTAAATTAAAAAAAAAATTGGTTTATACATACAGCTTGTTACTACAAAGCTACCACTATTTAAATACTATCCCATTTTGAGTAGCATTGCAGATGTCAAAACTGATTCAGTTTAAAGGTCAGCTTAGCACACAGTATTTACACAAATATTATGAAAATCTGAAAGAGAACATTTTGAGTGTATTGTTGGTATGTTATCACATCTCAATCAGGTTTTTTTTTGCAATCTGAACAGAAAGAGTGCATACAGAGTGGTACCCAGGTATACTTCTGCGTGATTAAATACAAAAGGTATATTTACGTGGGGAGTCTTGTCTTCAAAGAATAGAGGTAGAGATTTTTGAAAAGTAAATCACAACTAATGCTCTTCTCTTATCCACAAATCTGGTCATTTATCATAGAAAGCATAGCTGTTCATCTAGCAGACAGTGCATACCACCTTTACTTTTTTCCCTTCTCTTTTTTCTGCCCTTAATAGTCCTTAGTGAAACAGTATTCCAGATATCAATGTGCCAAACAGGACCTCAGATCTCGAGACAAAGTGCCAAACCTCACAGAATTTCAAAATTAAATCCTGCAACAGAAGTCTCTAAACAGTAGGGTTTTGAAAAATGAGAAGAGTATAGTTCATATTTTTGCATCTCAAATTACAATAGTTTGATGTGCTCTAAATAAAAGTAGTATTGGCTGATGCCTTAAAGTACCAGAAAACCATTTTCAAGATACACTTCATTAACATCCTGACACTCTTTTCTGTTTTATCACAAGGTAAGGTAAAAGCTTTGCAGCGGAAACACTCATAGTTATCCCTCCATGCTCTGGTTTTAGCAGATAAAACATTGAATATGAAGCTGCTCTTTGGGACATGACAGGGGATACATGACAGCTCTGGAATGCTTTTTTAAACCTGCGAGTAATCATTGCATTTTCTTAAAAATTCATGACCAAAGAGATTATGTGATGCAAATGTATTTCCAAGGGCACTTTGCACTGCATGCATGTCAGCTGCCTTTAAAATTTAAGTTTGATGGTGTTGTCGATGCCTCGTTGTAATGAAGCATATGCTATCAGCATATAATTTGATAGGTTAAAAGAGTGATTTATATTTTAGGCACACAGATTCCTCCAGTGTTGCTTGGGCTGGATCTTCACAATCAGTTTAGGTTTGAAAATTTGGGACTTTCATCCCCTGAAAAGAAAAGCTGACACAGAAACTTTCTTGTGACATGAGAAGAATGTTTTATTCCAAGAAAAGTAAAACGAAAAACAGAAGAGACGGCGGTGGGATTTGTATCTCTAAACCTCCAAAGTCAACTGTAATCTTGGACTGCTTTAGTGTTGTCTGGAAGTAGGGGTTTGGGGGGTTTTTTCCACTTCTGAAATACTGATGTGGAGGGTATCATGAACAGGATTCTGAATCACGAATTCTTCAAGGAAGACTGGTTTGATGGTGTACAAAATACATAAACATCCAGTAAGCCAAAAAGCCATAGTAAACACATTTCCAGCCATGGCTAATACCTTCACTTTTTGTTTCCAGATCCTGCTTACAGAACCCTTTTTTCCCATATAAATTCTGAAGTTGTCTGTAAAGAAAAAAAAATGTGAACCTTTATACTAGGGAGTTCAACACTGTTGAATGGTGTAAGCTGAGGGTTCAAATCTCCTTGGACGTAAAAAGGCTCTCCATAAAGTTGCAGTGAGTGCCTTAGATCCATATCTACTCTATGGAGGAAAAGCAATATTCTAGAGGGATGAAAGGGAAAAGTTCATATACAGATGTTAATGTTTGGAGGATCCTGCTCTGGTCTTGTGCCTTCTCTCCAGGGTGGACTAGAAAATCATTACAGAGAGCCCTCAAAGTTCTGTGGAAAATCAGAAAATGCAGGAGAAAAGATCAGACTTCTTGAAATCACCATGGCAATAGATGGGGTCAGGCCATCTGGAGTTGCAACTGCCTAATTTTTCTTTAGCTAGTTAGTTACAGTAATAAAATGGTTCATTTAAAAAAAACCCTGTCCATGTGCTCTACTGCTGGAATAATTCAGCATGTAGTTCAAAGGTCTGACCTTGCAAGTTAGATGTGAAATACTCTGAATTCACTGTCAATTAGGTGTTTGAGGATATGCATGGTACTCAAGTGTATCCAGCAGCAGTTAGATCTAGTTCTTAAACTCAGAAAGTCACTTTGTTTTGTTCAGTGCTTCTCTTTTTCTTAACTGAAAAAATCCCCATTATTCTATTTTTGAGAGGTAAAGCTTTTGAGGGATACTGGTAGTGTTTTATAGAGTTGGTAGATTTTGAGTTTTTCAAAAGACATAACTTTGCGTAAACTATTTAGTGTTTTTCTATTTTTTATTTCTTAGGAACTAAAAATGGGGGATATTGAGGTTTTGAGCTCACCTTTCATTTTCAGTTAAGAACAAAAGGTAAAGAAAACAAGGAGTTTGAATATAGAGAAAAATTGAAAAATATGAAAAAATTAAAACACAGCCTTTTCTCATGTCATACATTTTAAATTATTTTTGAGTAAGGTTGAGTATACAGAACCATTGGCTTTTCAAACACATTACAAAATGTCTTTTGTGAAGACATTTGTCTTTAAAAAATATAAGATAAATTCTCCCTCCCTTCCATTTTTCAGCAATTGCAAGATAGTACTTCACTTACTTTTCTTAAAATAGCTCTTGTCCTCATGCCTTTTTCATAACAACGGCTTCTTTCACTTTCGTTTCTGCACTTTCTCACATACCCAAAACAGAACTAACCCTAATTCCATGATTTATGTGTGACATTCACAGAACCATACAATCACAGAATGGCTGAGGTAGGAAAGCACCTCTGGAGATCATCTGATTCAAACCACTGCTCAAAGCAGGGTCAGCCAGAGCAAGTTGCTCAGAACTGTGTCCATTTGAGTTCTCAACATCTCCAAGGATCAAGGATGGAGAGGAGACTCCACTACCACTCTCCTGTAATCTGTTCTACTGTTTGATCATCCTCACAGTAAGTAAGTTTTTTGCTTATGTTTAAGTAGAATTTCTTTTAGTTTGTGCCACTCCTGTCACAAGATGTCACCGAGAAGAGCCTGGTTCCATCTTCTTCATTCCCTTCCATCAGGTATTTGTACACATCGTTCCATGGTTCCATGGCCTTCCGTTCTCCAAGCTCCACTCCCAGTTCTCTCAGACTGTCCCTGTAAGTTAGATACTCTAATCCCCTGATCATCTTCGTGGTCATTTGCATACACTCCAGTACATCCATTTTTTGTACCTGGAGTTCAGAACCGGACCCAACACTCCGCATGTGGCACACCAGTGCAGAGTAGAGGAGAACAATCATCTCCCTTAGCTTAAGGATAACACTCTTACTAACACAGCCCAGGAGGCACTTGCTTCCTCTGCCACAAGGGCACATTTCTGGTTCAATCTGCTGTCCACCAGGACCCTCACTCCTTTTCTGCAAAGCTGCTTTGAGCAGCTTGTATAGAAGCCTGAAGTTATTTCTCCCAGATTCAGGATATGGTATTGCCCTTTGTTGATCTTCCTGAGAATCCTGTTGGCCCATCTCTCCAGACTGTCAAAGGTCCCTCTAAATGGCAGCACAACAACAGAATTATTTAGGTTTGAAAAGACCTGTGAGATCATAGAGTCCAACCGTTAACGCAGCACTGCCAAGTCCACCACTAAACCATGTCCTTAAGTGCCCCATCTACACATCTTTGAAAGGCCTCTGGGGATGGCGATCCAACTATTCCTCTCAGTTTTGCATCACCTGCAAACCTGCTGAGAGTACACTGAAATTATACAGATTTCATTAAATTGAGTGAATCTAGCCTAACTTTCTGAAGTCCTGTCTGTCTGCATCTTAGAACAATGATCTTACAAAAAGATAAACAAGATGTACAAACTTCTAGCAGAGACAGGATAAGCTGTTGTTTATTATGGTGAAGTTTACTGAGGCTAAACATAGTCGGAAAGCCAGATACTCAGTTTTTCCAGGTGGGTCTCCTCATAATTTCATGATAATCTACACCAGGATTGCTGAAACCTTCTCTCTCCCTTTGCCTCCCATCCCATCATTGCCTTCACATTGACACACAGTTGACCAAGAGGGTCAGAGTGTAAAGTACATGGCACAAAAATTACCATGATCCTCCAAACTGGTATGTCCTGGGCTATGAACAGCATGTATTCAAAGAGAGAAGGCTGCAGCAGTCCTTGCTTGGATTGATTTTAATAGCTTTGGAATTGCACACTAAGGCCTCAGTAAAACTTTCCCCTTCCACAGACCAAAAAAAGTAGTCTGCATAGACAAACATCCATTCACTAAGACTTTAATTTGAAGGGATCAAAAACATGACAATATTTCAAACATGATCAGTACAAACTTTGATGCAATGACCTTACCGCAGAAGTGAGACGAGCAAGAATTTCAGCGTTGGTTTCTGCCGTATCTTCTATTTTTTGATCAGGCCTTAAAAAATAAAAATAAGATTTTTATCATTTCTTTCATTCTGTTTCAACATCTTTTGATTCCTGGAAAGTAAGGAACTATGCAGCCACAGGCACTAATGTAAAAGGGCCTTTGAGATTCCACATCAAAATGATGACTGCAACATGACAATAATTAATCGTGTCACTAACGACAGAGTACACTCTTTGTCCCTTGCTGTCAAGAACTCTTTTGATCAGACCAACATAAAGCAGTGAGAGAATTCTTCAGCTACTAAAATATGATGAAGAACTGAAGAATGTAGGACCCTCAGAGTCGCTTATGAGACTGCATATTTCGCTTTGCTAAAAACATACTCTATCAACGGAGCAAAGAGTTTTCCATCTGCCCACCATCCAGCTTTGCTAAGATGTGGAGCAGCACCTAAGGAATGTAAGCTCATGTAGATGAAAACAGACAACATCAAAATAACTATATGACATGTATGGTTTGATATTTAGAAAGAATAACTGAAAGTGAAAATAATACATTTAAGAAGATATAAATTAACAAACTAAAGCAACAGTTGAGAACATTATTAGGTTGTCTTGACAGTTACTCACAAGAGAGAGAGACTTCACATGTCTTTGCAAAAGAGGGGCAGTGCAGGAAGAACCCTGCCAGAAACTGTCCCAGAAGTCTGGTTCACATGGACAGTCTGGCCACACAAAAGCTGCTATGGGCAGTACAGGATAGCACTGTGTTTTTCTTTAAAAGAGTCTAATTCCCATAACCAAAACATCTGTGTTTTAGCTTCTTACAGAAGCTTTATTGAAAATTGGGAGAAAGATACCAATATAGGTGTGTATATATAGGTTATTACTATGGAAGGAAGAAAAGAAAATGCCCTTGAGATCTTTATTTTTCATGGTATTCAAGAAGCAGTGGCATGTCAGCAAGCTGAGCAGATACACAAAACTGCAGCTGCTGTAATAAACATAAATCCCAGGTATTAGTAGAAGCTTCTGTCTTTGACTAAATTATTTAATTGCTTATGTGCCTTGATGTCCTCAGGGAGAGAGTTGGCAACACATTTGGAATACTCAGCTGGTATATTGTGGTTTTTACACCCCATGTCCAAAAATTCCATTCCTTGATTAAAAAATTAAGGTCAGAAAGCACAGAATGACACATGCATTCATTTTGGGGCAAGCATATTCAGACTAAAATGGTAATTCAGATTAGAAATAACAATTATTTTCACAACTGCTTCTGTATTCAAAGAAAAAATGTGATTTAATATTTTAAGTGTTATAAACAGCCTGAAAGAAATAAATGAATGCATTTTCATTTACAACGACTGATTTATTCAGGTTTTCTCCTTATAATTTGGAATAAGATTAAAACAGCTGATCTCTTTAGATGCCTAAGTTTCTCTACACATCTGATCTCTTCTGATCTCCCAGAACCAGACTAGGACCTGATTCTTCTACACTGGAGGCAGAAGATAGCAATTCAGTAGACACAGACACAGATGCAATCTATAAACCCACAACAGCACATAGCCTAGCTATTTCCATCTTGGGCCTTTATCACTTCATCTTCTATTTAAAAATACTCCCAGTATTCATCTGCATATAAGTATCAAATACTTCTGAAATCATTAATATACTAAAAATTAGTATGAGCTCTACGGAATCAGAGGGGAAGAGTGTATTATGACACCCAAGTCAGTGGAAAAAAGTAACATTTATCATTCTAATTTTTTCAAAAGTAGACAGCCAGGACCTAGTAGGGCTGGTACCACACAGGAGCTCAAAGCCCAGGCAAACTAGCCTAATGCTTATACAGTTCAGTGGCCTGTGAGCTCAGTCTGCTAAGCAGACAGAGATGTGGGGATGCTTGCCCTAGATTTGCACGCACACAAATCAGTCTTCATGCAATACCTGAGAGCTGTTTGTGTTCAGCAAAAGCTTTCCAGGAACTCTATAAGGCAGTAACTAAACAAATATCTCATCCTGTCTATTTGCATTAAAACCAAATTACTTTTAAAAACGATTACTTTTCTGAAATGAATAAAATGTGAATTCTTTCACTGAGTCTCATCAGTGTTTTTGGGAATTAGGTGTTATTATAGACACCCCCATTTGCAAGGAAGGAAAAAGAAGCACACAAGGATTAAACACCTGGTACAACACCATTGCAGTAACTGGAAAAGAATTTAGGAAGCATCGGATTAGAGCCTAAGTGATCACTCAAGGTTGTAAGGAAGTCCATGGCACAGCTTTCAATACAGATTTTTTTGTTTCTAGATTATTGCAATATTCACTTCTTTTCTACTCAAGTAGAATTGACTGTGATTAACATCAAGTGTTGAATGACTCCAAGAGGCCTCTGCATCAGTCCCATCTCATCTGATTTTACAGGATCTCAGGGTCTTAGTCCTACTACTACTTGTAGTCCTAAATCCTACTTAGGACTACAACAACATTAGCCTTCAGATTAGTGTGAGATGCTGAAAATCTGCTATGTCCCAATTTTTTTCCATGGTGGATTCCCCCCAGTGTAGGGAATTTGCCACAGTCAAAATATAGGGAGCATTTATTCAGGAACCATAAGTACATCTCAGACTTCAGAATGGTGTTTTCATTGTAAAGCTTACTACAGTATTATTTGGTAACACCCCTAAAACTGACCAGAAACAAATACAAATCCATCAAGAATCCCTACAGCAAGTCAAATCTGAGCCATGTTTATTTAATGGCGTTTCCAGAATAGTTGCTAAAGGAAGTCCCCAGAGTTGCTACTGCCTACTCAAGTGTACAGACTCCTTCTGGGAGAGCAGTACCATGGTTCTGCTCAGAGATCCACTGAGGTACCCAGCAGTCCAGGCAAGGTAAGGCTGCTGCCCACCAGCTGCAGAGGAGACAGAGATCATCTAGCCTCTGGGACCACCAGGAGACATCCAGTGTTGCCTTCTGGTGTACAACCACAAGCAGTAACTTCTGATTTCTTCAAAAGCAGGGAATCCAATTAATAAGGTAAGAATTTCTCTATCCCTATGTACATGCAGAATGCCATCAATACAAATTAGGAGAAAAGCCAGGACAGAAAAATGAGAATAAAAATACCAAATTACAAAAAATCCTATGCTTCTAATGGTATGCAAAATGACTTATATATTTGAAAAAAGACAAGCACTCACTGCAGGAAGGAGTTTTTAGAATTGCTGTCTTTCTTCATGAAAATAAGCATATGGGTTTATTTAACCTGGTCAGAAAACTTAACAAACACCTCATCACACCTATTCCTTTTCAGACTGTGTTTTAGTAGTGTATTATTTGCATCAAGCATGAAGAATTTTGAACCTGGAAAACCCTCCTTCCCCTTTAATATCACACTCCTTCAAGACTATACTGTTATTTAAAATTCAATTCCTTCAATATATGCTTTTTTAAAAAGCACCTTCACAATCTGACAGGTAAAACCTCCAGAAAACAATTCTTCTGTGAAAATATTCCCAAAAGGAATTCAGCTTCAACTAAAATTTGAATAATGGGAGCAAGGAGGAGCTGGAATAGTACATTAATGAATAATTGTTCAATTCATGTGACAGGGATCATCCTCCACTGGAAAATGACAGTTGTACTGAAACGATAAAACTGCGAAGCAGACTGTAAACTCAAACCCAAAAAGTCTTCAATCCATTTTCCTACCCAGCATCCTTCAGGTAACACATCAATATGACCTATCTGGTTTGTCTTTTTGATTTGAAGCCTTTGTACAAGTAGTCATGAACCATGAAAAGTGGCCTGACTTGCATTGATAATGAGGAAAACTCTAATTCCCATTGAAATGAAGATGAAATTTCCCTGATATTTAAGGGATAGACAAACTGTTTAGCAACAGAGTCAGCTGGAAGACAAGAATTTCTATTTGCAAAAATAGTCAAAGGTTTTCTCCTATATGAATCATCTGCTTAGAAGATTACACTCAGTCCCCTGTTCTAGCCAACTTGGGGTCCTTGTCACTTGTCTACACTCACTCAAGCTGACGAAACTAAGGCATTTTAAAGTATAAATATTGGGTTTGAGGATTCATCATGCTAGGGACAACGAAAGAATTTAACCCAGCTTGTCTATCCAGGCCTACTCCTGCAGATTTGCTCAGGCATGAAGGGTCATGAGCCTCCAAAGTTCTCACTAACACCCTTTTTCCTATCTTTTGGCCTTATCCTGTGACACAAATAGCTATGATTTCCTTCTATCTCCTCTAAATAGCCAACATCTCCTCTAAAGAGCACAGTCATATCACCACAGAGCATATGATAACATCCAATAGTTACGTGAAAGAGGACACATATGGGCAGCAAAAATCTTAAAAGGCATATTCTGAAAAAGGAATAATACTGTGATACTACAGAGCTCTGGCAAACATGCAGTAGAAAACTAAAATGAGAAGACTGAAGCTACTGCATTTCCACCCATCTACTCTATCTTTCTGAAAGCCGATCCTGACACATCACAGGAGCATCTGATCTGCTAGTCAATCAGTTCCACAGCACACCTGCTGCCAAAATCACACCAAAGCTCCAAACGTAAGAGGAGACAAAAAAATCATGTGCCTAAATAATACAGCAAGCTAGAGGCAGTAAGCCAGTGCTTAAGAACTACAATATGCCAAAAACCCCAAGCCAAGTGCCTTCATTTATTTATCCAGACTAATCTTCTCAGATGAAAAGCACATCTCTGCAAAACTTGGGGTTGATTTTAAAGATTTTAAAGGTTTTAAAGCCGGCTTATTTGTAAGGTGATTTCGGAATAAACAGTGTCATTATAAGGCCAGACACTTATAAAATAGTCAGCAAAAGTTGTAAACAGCTGCATATGCACACTTACAGATTACACATGTCAATCCTGGGGGGAGACAATGGCAGCAGTTGAAGTAGGAGCTTTACTCCATTTTTCCATTCCTCCTCTTTCTCAAATTCACAGAAAAGATAGGTACATTCATCCGCTGAGAACTGGTAGAAAGCATGAGTGTCTTGAAAATAGAGTTGTCTGTCCACTGTTAGAAAAGATAACAGATACTGTTTAAACCTTCGCCATGTAAAGATTCCATGTCCCCACCACATTCTGCATTGCACTTGACTTTAATGCCGAGTTGCACCACCACCACACGGGTCAAAAGGACCAAAACTTCAGCACAGGAACAATCCTGCCCTCTCATATTAACTCAGCACATCCAAACAGAAAACCTCCAAAACCTCAATCTGAAGATCTCCAAGCTCCTGAAATTTGAGTATTAAGACTGCTGACTATTTAATCAATTTTAGAATCAGTTCAGGATTAGGGGATAAAAACCTTCCTCTTATTAGACTTCTCAGTCTTGATCTCCATTGGTTTCTAAACTGTTGTCACTAATGGTCAGGCAGGAGTAAACAAAGCTCAATAATGAGGATCATTATACCAGCTTCCTATTCAGGGCTACTGAATTTGTAGACTAGACCTGGGTAAGATGATGTGCCAGTCGTCTTCCCTGAAAAAAATGGGATTGAACTGGGAACCAAGGACAGAGTCCAAAGCCAAAAGCATAAGTTCCTGCATAAGTGAATCATTCAGCCTTTGTTGAGGGTGCATGACCAGACATATCGTCAGTGTAATTGAAGAAAACCTTTAAGTACACTGTCAGTGTACATAGGCAGAAATCTTCTATAACACCTCACCTTTTCACAAGAAAGAAGTTAACGTCTAGCACAGACCCCAGGGTGGGGTATGATCTGAGTTGAGCTACCTAAGTAGTCCCAGCCTCAAAATAATCATCAGATTTCCAGAGGCTGGTTACCAGTGTAGTTATCACCAACCACATTAGCTGGACCAATCACTTTGGTGGGGAAGGTGGGAACAGCAGGGTAGAACCTGACCTCACCAGCATCTCAAGGATCTGGATCCTCTCTCAACCTATTGTAATCTAAAATAATGGAAAACAGAGAGGAAAGGAAAATCACTAATAGCTAGAGAAGTGATCTGGTGAAACCACAATCTGCAGTGACTAAATAGCTGCTATCTTATGAAAAACCTAAATTAGCTTGCAGAGGAAAAAAAAAAAAACGGCTGAGAAAGACACACACACAGTCTGCAACTTGATAATAGGTAACTAAATCAGTAAAAGCAAAAGTAAGGAAATTGCTGAAAAGTAGAGATTCATCTTTGGTACTTATGAAATGAAAGGTCACAGAGGTAAGCCTGCCAAAAAGATAGTAAACTAAAGAACTGGCAAGAAAATTGGATCAATCTGTGCTTTTACTCTTTTCCTCCTCCTATCAAAAACATGAGTCTTGTCCTATGCAAGAGAAATGCATAGCCTTCCTCATGCTAGAATTACTGTCAAGACTGACCTGATAATATAATGCCCATATCCAGAAGGAGCTGCCACACTCCAACTGCTGTAGATCTGCTCTTAACAAAAGGGCATTGCTCCAAAAGCCAGTCCACCAGTTCTGATCCAACACAGCTTCTCCTGAAAATAAGCAAAACATCACTTCTTACACTACAGTAACATTAAAATGTTCTTTTATGATAAAGAGCTACTTTTTAAAGCTATTGAAAGTGAACCTTTTTGTTCAGCAGAGCAAACCCTTTGTCTCAATTGCTAATTTTTGTAATCCTACTCATTTCAAGGGAAGAAATTACTCTGGCAAGTCTCAGGGGATACCCCTAGCTACAATGAGGGAATTCATGTCAGATGAGCAAGTTCCCTAATTCACGTAGCACACTTTGCAATATGTAATATTTTTATCAGTTTGTGCTGCATATGGTCATCCAAAGATGCATAAGAGCTAAACAAAATACAACTTTTAGCCCCAGGATTTTATTTCTTTTCTGAGCATAAGCAATACAGCTACACAATACATGTAAGACCTTGAGTGCTGCTATAGGATGTACTTAATCTTTCACATTATTAGTAAATGTAGATATTTAAATAATTTTTTTAAAAAGTAGTGGATTTTTCTTAAATACAGTTATGAATGAACAGTGCTATAATAGAGAAATGCACATTTTGGTATAACTGAAAAAAGGAGGAAGCATTTATGCTGTAATGCAACACAAATGGAAAATCACTTCATTACAAAAATATTCCATAAATTACATGCCAAAATCACTGTGTCACTAAATCTTAGGAATCCAGTTAATCTCTCTGATAACTCTAGACCAGGGCTGAATTTATTAGTCTTTCTTTTCAACAAAATAACTGACAAACACTATTGTATATGAAATCATAAGCAATTTAATTAATGCATAATTAATTCAATTAATTAATTGATTTCTGACAGCTAACACTGTAACATAAGAAAAGATATTAAAACACATGAGATTTTAAAGAATTTTTTTAGAGAAAATGTTTTTAATTCTTTCTAAGATACACAAAATCTCACACTCAGAGAAGAATTTACTCTCTTGTCAACTCAGGTCATAGATAAATGCAAATAAAACCCATAAAGTTGATTAAAAGAAATGACTTTGAGTTACCTGCAAATGCCAGTAAGGTACACCCTGTCTTTAATCAGGTCAGATGCTTGTAGGGTAAAAATATTCCTGAGAGCTCTCCCAGCACAGGAAGAACTTTCTCCATAAATCTGAATGAAAAGAGAAATTGAAAACTGAATCTATGATAGCTACAGATCAGTTCATCCACAAATAACTAAACTGAAAGGAAAACAATGTTATCTGGTTTCTTTTTTTGTTTGTTTGTTTCCCATGTTTAGGAATCTTTCAAGGCATATAAAATAGTCCTGAGAAAGTAAAGTTTTGTGACATGCAAAAACAAAGTTCTTAAATATTGTAAAACTAAGCTAAACAGTGGCAATCATTTAAATGACTGAGAAGCAAGTGCACATTGGAATTCACAACAATTCAGTTTGCAAACTCAGTAACAGAAAGAAGTGATTCGTATAAACACACACACAAAATGACAACTTCTTAACTGGATTTAACTGCAGGTCACATTTACAAGTGTCTTCAAAGCTATGATTAAGAGGTTGAACCAAAGCAAACACATTCCTAATATGCTGTTTGATGAAACGGAATTAAAAAGAAGCTTGAAAAGTACCTTATTTGAAGGAGTTTCCAAATAGGGATTTGAAATTCTTCTGGACAGGGTCTGTAAGATAATTTGGTAGACCTTTAGTTTTGTTCTGGATTTTGCATAGAAAAAAAAAAGTAGCAGCAATCTAGTCTTTTAGCTATTGAAATCTAAATAAAAAAGAATTTATCAAATCATCTGAGTAGTCTAACTGACATCTCCAAATAATATTTTTTTCACATCGGGAAAAAGGTTTGGTAAACTCTATCCTGTGTTGTTTGTTACATTTATTCTTGATCTGGAAAAGATGAGCAATGAAGTGGTAAAGTCTGTAGACAACACATAATTATTTGGGTAAGGAAAGACCAGAAATGACAGTGAAGAATCTCAAGATAAACCTGAAAAATGCTGGGTGAAAAGACAGTATCATGATGAGCTCAACACCGAAATCAGCACGTACTAGAGGGAGAAAATGTAATTACACATCCTCTTAAGGAAAACTTTATCAATTCAGTAAAGACACCTCAGGGTCACAGAACACTTCTCAAGGAAGACCACTCTTCTAAATTAAATTCTTAACTGTAGTTTAAAGAAATTAGGATAAATGATGAATAAAATGGTGATCAGCAGGGAGATAACTAATGTAGATCAGCGTTATCTCTGACGTGCCACATGTTGCACTGGTAACAGCATCTCAAAAAATGAATACTCCAATATTAGAAGGGATTCAGACAATATTAGCAGTAGGAATAATAAAGGATTTGGATAAATTTTAATGTGAGAAGAGACAGAAAAGACTGTGTCTACCTTACAAAGGAGAGATTACAAGAGACATAATGCAATTATACAAAATATCAAAATTATGCAGCGAAAAGACAAAGACGGGGTTTCTGTGCTCTGCTTTACATTACATGAGAATAAAAAAATCACTCAATGAAATTAGAGAGGATTCATATTTGAGGAGACAGAAAGTGATAAATAAGTCTTCAGAGGAGGAAAATGCAAATGCCAAAACCTTACCACTGATCAATAAAGACTAGGATTTAAAGTTATAAAATTAACAGTGAACCAGAACTTTGGAAGGCAGAGAGAAGACAAACATCTTCAGGTCACCCAACCTTTACTCACAACGATACTCACTGTCACTGTTAAAAGACAAGATATTGTCTATGCTGAATGCTTACTTGCAACTTCTATGTTACTACAAGCCACATACGACATAAATAAACATTGCCTAAATAAACCTGGAAGCGGAACAGAAGATGTTATGCAGGTGCACTGGCATCACAATCGGAAGATCATGCAGTGCTCCCTCACATTATTCCAACTTGTAAGCAGCATAATTAATTCCTCGCTTTGAGAAGGATCCAATTCTCACTTGGTATATTGCAACCATAAAAAAGCCCTCATCCTTCACACCTTGTAAGAATTACAGAATCCATATTTCAGTAGCACCATCTGCTTTTTTCCCCCTGTATTTTTGTTACTATATTTTTAGAAAGGGAAGGGACAAGGAACACAGAAGCATCTAACGCTGTTTACCCTTCCATGCTCATCCCAAATGCGTAGTGTAGTTCCATGCATAACAGTAGCTCCATACGGAAATATTACAACATACAAGCTTAATTCCCCTCTCCCATAACCAACAAAGATGCTGTAAGTGTGCAACACTGCCTCAGATCCCACTTACTTTTCCTAGCCGGCATGTCATTAACACCTTGGTTCTGCAGCAGCCCGACATACCACCACTTCACTTGGTTTCTGTCCAAGTCTTTCATTCAACAAGCCTCACTCCCTGCAGCAGCACAGTCAAAGCTGATACATCGATTTCCCCCCTTCCTGCTCCTTTCCCAGACTGGCACTAACAGAGGACAGTTGAGCCTCAGCCGGGGAAAATACTGCTACTGCAGTGTGAAGTTACATGACAGTATCAGATGAAACTCAGCAAAAAGGACAAATTTGGTTGCCTTCTACAACAGGGTTATAATAGTGATAGACAAGGGAAGAGTGACTGATGCTACCTACCTGGACTTGTGCAAAACATTTCAGACGAGGTAATGACTACAATGTACCACACCTGAAATGTTTCTATACCAACGCACACAGTATGAGGAAAAACAAGAGGAACTCAAAGCTTGGGCCCAGTCCCAGAGATTTGACATCATTGGCATACGTGAAACCTACTGGGATGAGTCCTGTGACTGGAGCGCCCTGCTGGATGGCTACAGGGTCTTCTGGAGGGACAGGCAGAGGGGGGGCACTGTATATAATAGAAGGGTTGGAATGTATGGAGCTCACAGTTAGCAATGATGCAGTTGAGAGTCTCTGAGTAAGAATCAAGGGGCAAACAAATGATGCAGATGTCACCATGGGAGTCTGCTACAGACCTCACAGCCAAGACAATGACACTGACAAATTATTCTCTGAGGAACTAAGGGACACCTCCAATTCAACTGCCCTTGTCCTTATGGGGAACTCCAACTTGCCAGAAATTAACTGGGAGCATCACACAGCAGATACAACCCGGGCCAGAAGATTCCTAAAAAACTTGGATGACAACTTTATGGAACAGGTCGTAAGGGAGTTGACTCAGAAAAATGCTCTCCTTGATCTGCTGCTTGTCAACAGAATGGATCTCGTGAGTGAAGTAGAGATGGATGGCCATTTTGGCCACAGTGACCACAAAGCCATTCAGTTTAAAATCTCTGTTGACAGGAGGAAAAGTGCCAGCAAAACCTCAACTCTGCACATGAGGAGAGCAGACCTCAGGCTGCTCAGGGAATTAAGGTCCCTTGGGAAAATGTTTTTGCAGGTGCCAGTGCCCATCAGTGCTGGTCACTTTTCAAACACGAACTTCGAAGAGCAGGCAATTCCCAAATGTCAGAAATCAAGCAGGCAAGGCAGAAGGCTGGCTTGGCTGAACAGGAATCTTCCCTTGGAAATAAGGCAAAAACGAAGGTGTATGCCCAGTGGAAGCAAGGTCAAGTACATTTAGCCTGTCATGCAGGAAACCAAACACCCAAAATTTCTACAAACATAAGAAAATAGAAGCTAATTACAAGAAAATAAAACAAAAGTGGAAGTGGATTTCTGGAATAGAAAAAATTATCTTTCCTGTTGATACTAGTGCAGCCTGTGTAATGTTGAAACACTCACTGCAGTTAGGCTGAAATTGATAGCGAATTTTAGGAGTTTACGTCCTAGCTACCATGATACAGACCTGTTTCTTTTCCTTTTTTTTTTTTTTTAACATGCCTCAATAAATATTTAGTTCACCTCTGTTCATTAGACTCTACTTTGGCTGCTGGTGACAAACTGGACAGTCCCCTCTAAGAGAGAGGAAGAGGTAGTGGATTAGGGGTCCAGGCTTTTTTGAAAACCCCAGCCTTTGGGTGGCTGTGTGGGAAAAGCATCATTCCTCCCTGAAGGTATCTAGCAAATATAGGCTGCTCCTCCCAAATCATTTTGACACACACGGTGATTCAAAATACATTTGCAAATAACTAAAAACGAGCCAAACTGTGCTTTTAAAGCAAATTAATTAGTCATCAAGCAAACAACTCATCTCTCATAAAAACTACCTTGGAACAGTTATTACTGCCCATGCCAAGTGTTGCTTTCTAGCTACAGCCACCCTGGCATCCCCCTGTGCCTCTTCACAAGCTTGAGGAGAAGCTTTGCCAAACCATGTCAGGGAGAGGATGGGGATGTGGCAGCACGTGTGGTCCTGGGACAAGATCATATGTGGAGGAGATCCAGAGCACCTGGTGTCCTCCAGAAGGGCTATCCCATCATACATGAGTAGCTGTGTATAAGTGGCTTCAGCTTCCCTGCTAGGGATGCAGGAATAAAGAAGCAGGGAGTTGGTGCTTTGGGCTGGACAATCAGAAGCCTGAACTATGAACGTGGCACAGGGATGGCATTGTTCTAGGTTGGGAACACGACTTATATGCGGCAGGAGAGGACAGCTGGGACAGGATGCCCAGGAGAAGGTTTTGGGATAGGACTGCTAGGATCCAAATCTGAACACATCACAGAATTTAGCCTGAAATTGGGAAAAATTATAGAGGTGTTTACTGTGGTAAGCACATGGAGTAAGAAATGGTGTGAAAAGAATGGGAGGATTAAAATAAAATGACCAGCAAGAAATTAAAACAACCAGAAGGAAATACTTCTTTACACTCCATATGACAATGGAATTATCAGCCAAAGAATCAAATATTCTAGCTAGATTGCTAAAAGCACAGTATCAATGACTGATGCTACTATGCAAGGTCTATATCTGAGTTTAAATTAGTATTGCTTCAACTGGATAGTTATTTTTAAACAAGTTAAGAAATTCTGACATTACTTAAAGCTAAACATGCAAAGGTATTGATGATAATATTCTGATTTGTGAGCATAAACTGATTTTTGAAAGGTTTGGAAAGCAGTGCCCCCAAAACATACGACACAACAAGTAAAGTGTACATACTAATGAAGCACATTTTGGTTTCCACTGGAAAGAACAAGTCCTATCTTACTGTAAGATGCTGACTTAGTTCTTTACTCAGGAGAGTACTGAACTGGCTCCACTATAGCAACTCCCTGTGTATTTACTACAGCCTGCTTAATGTTCTATTCAAGGGCTAATGGTACTACAGAGTATGTTTTTAGTCATACCTTATAGAGATACATTTAAATTTTCTACTCATTTTTAACCCGGGATTTTGCTTTGGCCTCATCTCAAATCGAGAGAACGATTTGCCTACAAGTTGCTTGTGCTTTGCCTCTTGCCCAAGCTGTTCCAACAACTGCTGATATTTCTGCCACTGCCAGCACTGCAGTCACAGTAGCATCAGCAATGCTCCATACATCTGCTAGCAATTTAATTGCCATGATGCTCAGAAAGAAAGAAAGCAAGAGTGCTTGGAGTTCCAGTTCAAGTGCTTTCCTCAGCTGGGATTTAGTATGGTGGTAGCAGCCAGCAACCTGTCTACACTAGAAGTCATGCTGTAACACCTCAAAAGAGGCTGCAGAAATTGCATGAAAATAATAATTTCAAATATGGAACGGAAATGTTTTGCCTTTCTTCTCAG